ACATACACAACCTGTAATTTTGAAGCAAGGATTAGGAGATCTAACATGTCATGAATTGACAAGAAAAAGGGGGCCTGCTTTATATTTATCAATGAGAAGGAAAAAAAAAATCAAAATATTATCTTTATGCATTCACAAAGAGCAAATATATATATATATATATATATATATATATATATATATATATATATATATATATATTTTAAATGACTTGTTTTCACAAATTTTATAGCTTTTAAATGTAACATAATTTTCCTCTTTAACTTTATTGTGTGAATTCTCTTGTTCCAGGAAGATTTACCATTTTAAACTGCATGTTACACAGTTACACCAGTAGGTGGCAGCAAGTGACGGTTTTAATAATTGACTATTATTTATTTTACTGAATCATTCAAACACACACTGTCAGTAAAGAACAAAACAAGAAAGAGTCACTGATTGAGTTACAGAAAATAAAAATAAAAATATGAAAAGATTATTTTATTCTACCTTGAAAATTGCACGAAATTGCAAAAAAACAAAAAAACAAAAAAACAAAAAAAAGATTATTTTATCCTACTTTGGAAATTGAAGGGGAAATAAAATTAAATAAGATACAATAAAAAATAATAATACAAAAATAAATTAAAATAATAAAATAAAATAAAACTACATAAAATTCTATACAATTCAATTTTAAGTTAAGTCGAACTAAATTAAATATACTGAAAAGATTATTTTTATCCTACCTTGGAAATTGCAGGTTAAATAAAATAGAATAAAATAAAATAAAATAGGAAAATTATCGAAACTCTTTGGTAATTTTTGAGCAAGATGCTAATGGTCTAATCTGATTTGATGATTTATGCTAAGCTAATGTAGCAAAGGCCAGTTAGTGAAGTGCTTTGCAGGTAAACAAAAAGTCTTCACACTCCCTGGGTAGAGTAACCCCCTTTCATGTGGAAAGTCGACGGTTCGATCCCAGCTCGGAGCACGTTGGGTGGTATAGGATCGGCGGGGTTACATTGGTGTCGTGACCCGGAAGGAAGTGAGATTTAGGGCAGTGAGTGTAGCAAAAGCCAACTAGTGAAGTGCAGTGCAGGTAAACCTCTCTCCTCTTACCTCAGGACGCTGGTTCTGATATGAGTGCAGTAGGATCGTATAAAAATGTCTTACCAGACCCAGAGATTGGCTAAATAGATAAAAAAATAAATAAATTAATTAGTAAATATAATTATTTTAATATTTATTAATAACTGTTTTAGTTACACTCTACATTGACTTGCATATACTTTTAAATAGATATCAAATACATTTCACTTTCTCTTTGTCTTCTTATGAAATCTAAACAAAATAATGTCTGTTACCACAATAATGTGTGTTACCACACAGACAGTTGTGCATAGTCGTCTTTGAAAAGTCTCTAAAAGTTACTGTTAATCTACATTTTGTTTTCCACAAGAACATTAGTTTCTCTATCTTCTACTCTGTCTCCATTAGCCATCAATAATCATAAAGAATCTTTGTTCAAATAGGCCAGAGCTTGACTGGGTCGCTGGCTTCTCGCTGTAGGACTAGAATAACAGCGATGTATTCCCGGCAGGGGGCCGATCAACAGTGGCATCAATCAGTGTAATAGGAACGCGCCGGGCTTTGCCATTAATTGTGCGGCTGGGCATGCAGAAACACAATTAGAGCAGTGGAAATTAGGCCATGTGTTTAGCAACTTGTAGGGGTCATGCTGGCACTCATATGTCATGAAGCCGGCTGGTAGGATGTTCAGAGTCTTCTTTGACAGTATGTTCAGTGTAACGCTTCTGGAAATGTAAGGGGAAATATGACTCTTTAGGTCGTGAGATCTGAGTATGCATTCTGTGCTTCAACTTCCCACTCACTTCAACTCATTGAAGTGACTAGTGTTATTTTTTGGTGCCGCAGTTTTTATTTATATATGATTTAAGATGTTCTCAATCTTTTGTCAGGATTGAAATGCAGACCATTTTCTCTGTTGTAACAATACATAAATATTTATTATTATTATTATTATTATTATTATTATTATTATTATTATTATTATTATTGTTGTTGTTGTTGTTGTTGTTGTTGTTGTTGTTGTTGTTGTTGTTGTTGTTGTTGATGATGTTGTTGTTGTTGTTGTTGATGATGTTGTTGTTGTTAATAATTAAAGCTGCAGTATTTTCAATAACCATTCTTACATTTTTAAAGTAAATCACTAATGTGGAGTACTCATAAGTGTGGTATATTTATAAATTATTGCAAGACACTTATAATTAAATTGTATTGTTATATGGCATAGTTACATTTCTATGTTTGACTATTTATTTATTTATTTTTTATTTATTTATTTATTTTTTTTATTTATTTATTCATTCATTTTTTTTATTTTTTGTTTTTTCACTTTTTTTAATAAGAATTTAGCAATTTTGCTATTTATTCCAAAAATTCCAGCATTTATATTTATTTATCTACAGGTCAATTCTTAACAGATTATTTTTGCAAAGATGAAAAATAAAAAAAAATTATAAAATAAAAATATGAATATATTATTTTTATTCTACATTGGAAATTGCAAGAAAATGCAAAAAATAAATAATTTAAATTAAGTTAAATATATTAAAAATATTAAATAAAATAATCTATATAAAAATATAAATATAAATAAAATAAAATATAAAAAGATATATTTTTATTCTACATTGGAAATTGCAAGAAATTGCAAAAAAAGAAATTAAATTAAATTAAATTAAATTAAAAATATATTTTTATTCTAGCTTGGAAATTGATGGAAAAAAATAAATTAAATTGTTTTAAATTAAATAATTTAATAAGTTAAATATATTGAAAAGATAATTTTTGTCCTAGCTTGGAAATTGATGGAAAAATAAAATAAAATTAAATATGAAAAGATAATTTTTATTCTATCTTAGAAATTGCAAAAACTAAAATATTTAAATTGAATTGAATTAAATTAAATTAAAAATTAAAAATTAAATTAAATTAAATTAAATTAAATTAAATTAAATTAAATTAAATTAAATTAAATTAAATTAAATTAAATTAAATTAAATTAAATTAAACCTTAAAACACAACAAGGCATCGGCTCCTGTAGCCATTTCTACAACACAATAAGCCAAATATATAAAGGCTGAAGAATTACTTTACCAGTAATATTATATCGCTGAAATGAAGTGAATTGTCTTATCTACTCTTAATAATTTATCTCTCTTATCATTACCCTGTATATATCCAACCTAGACTGGAGCTTCAGTGATGGGCTTCAATCTTCTCCGACGTGGTCCTTTCAGATCACATCAAACGCATCAGTCCTGTTATCGAGTGTTTGTATGATGCTCGCAGCTCCTGTCAGTAAACAGCTTGTGATGAAACTCTTTGTTCTGTGCTAATGTAATGTTCACTGACTTGTCAGGACGTACAATGAGATCTTCTGATGGTTTTTGACTTGTGTCTGTTCGATTGAAGATTTGAACAACTACATCAATGTTTCTGAAATTAAGCACGACTTCTTTACAACCCACTTGATGTTTCGAGTTTTGTCTGTTTTCAGAGGTGGAATGTATGCTTCAGAATACAGAAAAAAGTTATGGTTTTATATATATATATATATATATATATATATATATATATATATATATATATATATATATATATATATATATATATATATATATATATATATATATATATATATATATATATATATATATATATATATATATATATATATATATATATATATATATATATATATATATATATATATATATATATATATATATATATATATATATATATATATATATATATATATATATATATATATATATATATATATATATATATATATATATATATATATATATATATATATATATATATATATATTTATATATATATATATATATATATATATATATATATATATATATATATATATATATATATATATATATATATATATATATATATATATATATATATATATATATATATATATATATATATATGCTTGTGCGTGTGTGTTTTGTTGATAAAGAAATGCAACATAAAATTTACATTTCTTTCCAAAACACTTATAAATAAGTTGCCTTCAAGTAAACTCATGAAAGTTTCTCAAAGTTGTGATATATTTTCCATTTACGACTTTTTTCCATCCTGAAATGTCAAGTGAAAAGGCATTGTAAATGATTTTACTCCCCTTATGCCTCATTCACACTAGCAATGACTTTGTAGCTGTCACTCTGGGTGGCAACCTGTTGCAAACGCAAGTGTGTGAAGGTCTAAAGCATGGAGGATACAACCAGCCTCTGAGTGTGAGTTTTACTGGTGCTCCTATTGTTTGCATAAAGTTGAAGGATTCCCAACTTTGTCGCGTTGCTCGACAAGCCCATCTGGTCACCATCGGTCACTGTCGCTCTTATTGAAGGAGGTTGCCAGAAGTTGCTCACTCTCCATTGAAATGAACAGTCGCTTGTTGCTTTGCCAATGCGAGTTACTAATAGCGTCAATGTGTCTTTAACCATGTTCATGAGAAGTATATATAATAGCATAATAGTATATGTACACACACACTCTGTTATATCCGTATGTATGCATATGATTGCGCCTTCAGTTACCATTTAATACCAACACACCAGTGATCTCCCTAACCCATGACAGCTGATTTAAGAACTTTGCTCTTTTTATCTCCCTCTCCAGTCTTTGGAAAGCACACAACGACTCAACTACAGTCAAACACAGCTCACAATGCTGAGCAAGTTATTTTATGAAGAAAGGCTTGTAGCTGCATTTAGAAGAATGGTTACATGGATTGCAGATTTGAATGACTGTTCAATTTTTTTAATGACTTCTTCTTTTTCTTTTTCTTCTTCTTTTTCCTTTTCCTTTTCTTCTTCTTCTTCTTCTTCTTGTTCTTCTTCTTCTTCTTCTTCTTCTTCTTCTTCTTCTTCTTCTTCTTCTTCTTCTTCTTCTTTTCTTTCAGCTTTACAGTTCATTTGACTTTGGCCGAAAGTGGCAGCTGGTTCATGAGCGAGTGACTCCCAACCGCTTCTACTGGTAGGTGATCCAGTCACAATCACACCTCCCAATCCATTATTTATGCTCTAAAAGTATGTACTCTTTTTTTTGTGTGAAGAAAAAGTACTTACATTTGAGCGGGAGAGTATAGGCAAGCTTTGGAACAAACTACTTTTACATACAGGGATTAATTTGTTGCTTAGTTACGTGATCTGTCAATCATCTTGTCATGTTTTCCACATTTCTATTATAATTAATTTCACAACGTCTTGAAGATGATGTTGCATGTTAATCTGCCATCCGCAGGTCCTTCATGAAGAGAGATTCATGTCATGTATTTGTGTATTGTGTAGATTTAAAAGTGAACAGCCAAACGCCACTTTGTTAAAATGTCACAATGTTTTTGTGGATGAAATAAAATAACAAAAGAAAAAAAAAGAGACAAAATAAAATAAGTGAATATAACAAAATGTGTTTCACTGTAAATTTAAAAAGAGTGCTTGAGAAATATTAGATTATTTTCAGTTTTTCTACTCACTCGTGATATTATTACTCAGTGCTGAACGAAACTATTATTATTATTATTATTGTTATTATTATTATTGCTATTATTATTATTATTATTATTATTATTGTTATTTTTATTATTATTATTATTATTATTATTATTAATATTATTGTTATTATTTATAATTATAATAACAATTGTCATTATTTATAACATTTTCAGCATAATTGTTATTAAATACATATATTTAACAACAGCAACAGCAACAGCATTAAAATAAAAAATAACTATTAGTAGTAGTATTATTATCATTATTATGTTATTACTATAGCACTTATTATTATTATTATTATTTATTTATTTTTTATTTTTTATTTTTTTATTATTGCTGTTATCATTATTATCATTATTATTATTATTATTATTATCATCATCATTATTATTATTATTATTATTATTATTATAAAACTTTTCATCATAATTATTACTAAATACAAATATTTTATAAAATAATAATTATAGTAATTATAATAATAACTTATTTACTTTACATTTTTTGTAGACATAATTTCAGGCACATCGTTTTACCATTTCTGAATCTGCATTCAGTCTTTGTTAAAGACTGAATTCATCGTTGTTGTTTTTTGTTTTTCTTTTGGGCCTAAATAACAACAATAATGTAACTTTTTTAGAATATAGTAAAAAATAAAATAAAATGAGCCAATATGAAATATGAAAATAATTGAAGATTAAAAAAAAAAAAATCCTGGACAGAGATCTCTGCATCGAAATGTGACTAGCCAATCAAAGTAGATCCCTGTTTTGTGTGTGAACAATTCATAATTCACAATTTGCGAAAATGTATCTTTGAAAAAATTCCTAAGAAAGAATTAGTGATAATTGAGAGAGCATGTTCTTTTGTAATGGTGTATTTCGGACTATGCTAAGTTATGTTAATTCATATTTAGCTATGTGATCATTTAAATCAGTACCAAAAGATTTGCATATTCTCACCGTCACATCTCCATACTAACAATTTTACAAGTAAACCAGCAGAGTTTAGTAGAGTGCTGGTTGACATTGATGTGTTCATGAAAAGTGTAAAGAGTTTGAGCAATTGAGAAGATGGATGCGGTAGGAAATGCTGTCCTTTTCGTGCTCGCTCTTTTATGCATAGCAAAAAAAAAAAAAAAAAAGCCCAGGTTGTTGTGCATGAGTACGTGAGATGAAATCTGCCTAGAACTTTGTTGCACAGCTGCTCTCCATTCAGTGTGGAGACAATAACAGAAAGAGAGAGATAGAGAGAGAAGCATTGCACAGTGCTGGAAAGAAAATAAAGGCATAACGAAGGCTGAGTAGAGCAAAAGATAGAAGCTGATTGTACTCCACACTGCAGCGAGACTTTCAAAGGTGTGCTTAGTTTAAAAAAAAAGCTTTACACATTAAAATATAGTACTTTTAACCTGTGTTTGGGAACTCATTGAATATACTCATTAGAAAAACTATGCAGTGTGACTGGGGGGTATACTGTAGTGTGAAAAAATGTTTGCCCCCTTACTGATTTCTTTTTTTTTTTTTTTTTTGGCATGTTTGTGACACGTTTCAGATTATTAAACTGATTTAAATGTTAGTTGGAGATAGCACAAGTAAACACATCATGCAGGTTTGAAATGACGGTTTTTAATATTAAGTGAAAACAAAACACAGAACTGCATAGCCCTGTTTGAAATATTGTTTACCCCTTAAACCTAATAACTGCTCGGGTCATTCTTTGCAACAACAACTGCAATCAATTGTTTTCGATAACTTGAGTCAGTCACATTGCTGTGAAGGAACTTTGACCTGCTCTTTTTTGCAGAATTGTTGTAATTCAGTCACATTACAGGGTTTTCAAGCATGAACTGTAGAGTATGCCTTAGAACAGTGGTTCCCAACCTTTTTCTTTGGGGCCCCCCCTATAAACATATACAAACACTGGAGCCCCCCCACCATATAAATACACACGCACGCACGCACACACATATGTACTGTGTGTATATATATATATATATATATATGTGTGTGTGTGTGTGTGTGTGTGTTTGTGTAATATTAATATATAGTAATATGTATAGAAAATATTAATTAATCAGTTTTAACTTGTCTTGGCCTTCAATAAAACCAAAATTTAGGTAGGCTTTGTCATACTGTCTAATCTTTTTCTTCGCCTCTGAAGAATCACTGCATTTACGTTTGTCTGCCATTTTTGTTTTGATTTTGCCTTTACGACACGTTGACAAGCAGATTGCCCGAGTGAGCAAAATTTAAATTTATTTATTTTAATTATTTTCACTATTATGTTGGAATTTTAAGCATGTGTTTAGATTATTTTTTATTTTTTGGGCTGCTCGATTTTGGGAAAAATCATAATCACGATTATTTTGGTCATAATTGTAATCACGATTATTCAAAACCATTGCCAGTTAAAGTCAAAATTATTAGCGCTCCTGAGATTTTTTTTTTTTTTTTATAAATATTTCCCAAATTATGTTTAACAGAGCAAGGAATTTTAACAGAATTTCCTATAATATTTTTTCTTCTATTTGTTTTATTTTAGCTAGAATAAAGACAGGTTTAAATATTTTGAAACCAATTTAAGGTCAATATTATTAGCCCCCTTAAGCAATATATATTTTTGATTGTCTGCAGAATAAACTACTGTCATACAAAGACTTGCCTAATTACTCTAATTAAGCCTTTGAACTGCACTTTAATCTGAATGCTTGTATTTTGAAAAATATCTAGTAAAATATTATGTGCTGTCATTATAGCAAAGACAAAAAGAAATCAGTAATTAGAAATGAGATATCAAAACTATTATGTTCAGAAATAAGTTAATAAAATATTCTTTATATGAAACAGAAATTGGGCAGGAAAAGGTTTGCTTATATATAAAAGGGCTAATAATTCTGACTTCAACTGTATACATACGTTATTTTCCACCCTGCAAAGGAAGGAGAAATAAATACAATAGAATAAAATAAAAATATGAAGCAAACTGTGCTTTAAGCATCTTCACTGTAAGAAAAACACTTTAGCTTCAGCATTCCTTCAGTCAAGAGCAGCGAGGGTTTTCTCGTTATGTTTGTTTAATAATGATAAAAACAGGCGGCAGAAGGATTATAGCGCGCTGTATCTTTAATGGTTTCTCTTTCACGTCTTTTGATCCTCAACTCGTTTGTTTATTACACAAATGAGGGTTAATGTAAATAATCACTAAACACCGCGTTTTGACACCTATTTGACCATTAAAGCGTTCACGTTAAGATGACTTTAGATGTCTGCGCTCCTCTGCTCGTCTCAGTGTGTGAATGAGAGTGAATGCTGACCGGCCACATGCTTCTGACTGCGTGATCGTGCTGCACACACACATAAGCTCTTTCGCGCTTTTAAGAGCAACACGTGTACAACTGTGGCGAAATATGATGCAATAATCATTTATCTCGATTAATGCTTTTTTATAATCGTTTGAAACCGAAATCTAAATCGGATTTTCGATTAATTGCAAAGCCCTTTATAATAGTGGACCATTTTTATGCCTTTTTCTACCTCAATACTTATCCTCTCCCGCGCCCCCCCTGTGAACTCTGGCGCCCCCCTTAGGGGGGCGCGGACCCCAGGTTGGGAACCACTGCCTTAGAATCTCAGTTAAAATCAGGTTAGGACTTTGATTAGGCCACTGCTAAGTTTACATTTAAGTCTACTAATCAGTGTTAACAAAGTTACCATACTGTTTATGGTTATTTGATCAATAAAGTGTAAAATAATTTGTTTACCGTGATGTACACCCGGTTCAGATGAAAACGGCAGTAAAAATATTTTAAAATAAAACTTTTGTAATAGTACTTTTACATTTTCATGATAATTAACTAATAAAGACATTAAACTACATAATTTAATCTATACTATAATTGCTTCACTGAATTTAAAAGGAAGTACTTATGATAAAATAACATGACACTATTTTTGTTGTTAAAAATCTCAACATAGGCTCATTCTGAAAACATAGCCCTATATACATTTCTGGAGATCACGAATTATGTAGCCCAAGCTACGTACAGTATGGCTGCATTTCGTCAGTATGAAGCAGTATGAAGGCATTACTTTGACCGCTTACCTCCATATGGACGGCTTAGCCACTGTTACCTGTTGTTCTGGTTAGCTCACCTTGAATGTCAGTGGACTTAAGATGCAGAGAGGAGTTTACCACGACGACAGGGTTTGAGTCTGGCAAAGAACAGTTCCAGAAAACGGGTAAAACTAAAACAAAAGCCAAATATTAAAATAAACAAGTAAATAACAGGGTGAGAATGTGGTAAAATCTGCAAACATGGTAAAAATTAGGTGTTTGCTTTTTAAAACTGTCAGTTGGGTTTAGGGAAGTGGGTGGGCGAGTCAATCGGTACTTTTAAAAACACTATTGGTTGGGTTTAGGGAAGGAGGATTGTGGGTCATGAATGCATGAATGGCACATGCCAGGGAAATTTGAGATCTAAGAAGGCATACACAGCAGCCTCAGTGGATTTGCGATAACAGAAACTGCAAAAAACGTAGCTCCTGGTATGTATGCCTCTCTCCAGAAAGTCATACAACGGTACGTTTTCAGAATAAGCCTGGGTTATAAAATCTCATTGTCATGATTACAATTAATCAGTATAAATACTGGACACATTTTTATCATATATATATATA